AGTTGAGCAATTGCATAGGGACCATATGGGTCATAAAGCCTAAAATATTTATAATCTGGCTCTTTATAGGAAAAACTTTGCCAACCCTGTATTAGATGTTCTTGTTTCTTGTTCTTAGCTTCTGATATTTTTGCAGCCCTGATCATTGATGGGCAGAGAAGCCCTTAAGAGAGTAAGGAAGTACCGCTTGTTGGGAGAGCTCAAAATGGAATAGCATTCAGTTTAGTTCTCATAGATGACCAAATGTTTTCTATCTTGATAGATACTAAATTCCAAGGTTAAAATATTAATGATAGGAACCAGATACAAAATTCCTAAAATATCATTTAAATGTCATCTGTCATTATCATTAAGAGTATCTCCCATCAATAATGTTCCAGCTCTCAACATACATTATTTATGATGAATGTAAGAGAATTTCATGAAATCCTCCTCTAAAGACTTCTTTGGCCCCAAATTCTGAAATACTGTAATTCTAACATTAACTATTGGAATATCATTATGTTGCTCAATATCACATTGAACAGGGACATCTTACATTCCAGAACTTATCAGTGCCCTTCTGTAACTAAATTATAAAAATTTAAAAACTAAATTAAAATTTTCTTTAACCTGTGTAAGAAGGGACATCTCACACTTGAAGCTTTATTTGACATTTGTTTTTTTTTTATTTTACTTTATTTTGAGATAGTATCTCACTCTGTTGCCTAGTCTGAGTGCAGTCGTGTGATCAGCTCATTGCAGCCCTGACTGCCTGGGCTCAAGCTATCCTCCCTCCTCAGCCTCCTGAGTAGCGGGGACTATAGGCACATGCCACCACACTTGGCATATTTATTTATTTATTTATTTATTTATTTATTTATTTATTTATTTTGTAGAGACAGGGTTTCACCATGTTGCCTAGGCTGGTCTCAAACTCCTGGATGCAAGCAGTTCACCCACCTCAGCCTCCCAAAGTGCTAGGATTATAGGCGTGAGCCACCGCACCTGGCCAACATTTTTTTTTTAATAATAGACTTCGAATTGATTAGGTGTCCAAACTGTAGTGATTTCAGTGATGTGTATTTTGTTAGGAGGAGGTTGTTCATTCCAGCCACTGGCATGCTTTGTGTAGGTCTTTTGAGTACATGCTGACTTAAGGAAATACCTTTTAAATAAAAAATACCAAGAGGTAAAGAATATTAGACTGAATCATGTTCTTCTGATTTCTACAAATGGTATTACCCTAAACCACATGTACCCAAATATTAATCTTATTGTGGAAACTATGCTCTTATATTCTGATAGTATGTTTAGTTTTACAGTCAAAGGAAACTGAAAGTTTAAGAGCAAAGTTCACTTCATTCCTGAAGAAAAAACTTCCCATTTTATAGCTATTGGATTATAGATGAGATTTCATTAAGGTAATAGCCCCAAAACCTTAGAGGATGCTCTTGGTAGGAATGATCATTCCCAAACAAGTAGATGCAATGCTCTTGTCTCTGGGGCCTTTCACCTCTCAAGCCTGTGATTCCCAAATACTTATCTTCTCTGATCAGTGTGCAAGTTTATCTTTTGAGTGAAGTCTTGTAAACCTCTAGCAACACCAGGCTAGTCTATGTCTTTTTGTATTTTTATTGATTTCTGTACTCCTTAGCTCCTTGATTGGCAACTTTCTTAATGAAGGAAGCTTGCTTTAATAAAATTATGTTTAGATGCTTGTTATTAGAAGCTGTGTGCCAAACGATATTTTAATGCCCAATCATTAAAATTCAGTGGGTTTGTTGCTACTGTTCTTCAGTCTGCCTCCCCATTTGAGATCTGTAGTTGCTTTAACAGTCATTTCCTTTGTCCTTATCAACAATTCCTACTCTGCTTTCAAAGTAGGGTTACAACTGGGTCTATTCATATTCCAAATCTTATTTTAGTGTTTTCTACCATCATATGGCCTGTCCTTTAGGGAGCTGGTATGTCTCTATAGGTTTAGAAAATGATCATAGTTAGGTGTTATTCTTTTTGGTCAGCTTTCAAAAATCCTGATGCCTGGGTTGCATTCCACACCAATTAAATTAAAATGTCTGAGGGTGGGGGGCCCCAAGCATCAGTATTTTTTAAAAAGTCCCAGGTAATTCCAATATGCAGCAAGGTTTGGAAACCATTGGCTTTACTAATTGGCCAAATGGCTTAGAGGCTCTTCCTCCTAGTTATCTACTCACTACCCAGGATTAATTAGATGACCTTAACACAATGCATTTAGCTACCTGAAAAAGAGATGTTATGTAAATGTATTACTGTTATCATTATTATCATTATTATTTAAACTTCAGAGAAGCCATTTTGTGGTAAAATGTGCATAACATAAAAGTTACCATTTTAACCTTTTTTTTTTTTTGAGATGGGGTCTTACTATGTTGCCCAGGCTGGAGTGCAGTGGCTATTCACAGATGCAATCATAGGACACTGCAGTCTCAAATTCCTGGGCTCAAGTAATTCTCCTGCTTCAGCCTCCTAAGTAGCTAGGACTACAGGTGTGCATCACCATACCTGGCTCATTGTAACTTTTTGTTTTGGGGGTGGAGTTTCACTCTTGTTGCCCAGTCTGGAGTGTAATGGTGCAATCTCGTCTCACTGCAACCTCCACCTCCCAGATTCAAGCGATTCTTCAATTCTCCTGCCTCAGCCTCCTGAGTAGCTGGGATTACAGGCATGTGCCACTATACCCAGCTAATTTTGTATTTTTAGTAGAGACAGGGTTTCACCATGTTGGTCAGGCTGGTCTTGAACTCCTGACCTCAGGTGATCCATCTGCCTCAGCCTCCCAAAATGCTGGGATTACAGGCGTGAGCCTGTCTCTTATACACATCTAGATGTGTATAAGAGACAGGGCTGGAGTGCAGTGGCGCCATCTCGGCTCACTGCAACCTCCACCTCCCGGGTTCAAGCGATTCTCCTGCCTCAGCCTCCTGGGTGTCTGGGACTACAGGCACGTGCCACCATACCCGGCTAATTTTTTGTATTTTTAGTAGAGACGGGATTTCACTGTATTAGCCAGGATGGTCTCAATCTCCTGACCTTGTGATCTGCCCACCTCGGCCTCCCAAGTGCTGGGATTACAGGCGTGAGCCACCACTCCTAGCCCCGCTTGATTCCTTTTTAAGGCTAAATAACATTCCATTATATGTGTATACCACATTTTGTTTATCCATTCATCTGTTGATTTCTTCTCCCTTTTGCCTATTGTGAAAAATACTGCTGATTATGCTACTATGATCATGGATGTATGAGAAACTCATTTTAAGTGATAAACTGATAAACTCTCCTTCCACAAAATGCTTATGTGGCTAAATTACTTGCTCTATATGGCTAGATTGTAGTTCACCAGATGAGTAAGCACCTGCCCCTGGTGACTAGTCTATCTTTTACAAAATATGGCAAAAATTAGGTACTATTTAAAATACTTTCTAGATTTCCTACCAAGTAGTAACAGAATTCCATTTTATTTGAATTAGCTATCCTGCTCGGGCTGTGGATCAATCCTGTAGAGGCTGTGTTCCAAAAATGTAGTGACAAAAGTCTTTGTATGTTGAGAATGAAATAAAGGGTTTGTGCTGTGTACTTTAACTCACAAAAGCTAAGGCAAAGTTGCAAGCTTCAAAACCAACCTAAAAATGCTCCCTGGGCTGGGCACAGTGGCTCACGCCTGTAATCCTAGCACTTTGGGAGGCCAAGGCAGGCAGATCACGAGATCAGGAGTTTGAGACCAGCCTGACCAACATAGTGAAACCCCGTCTCTACTAAAAATACAAAAAATTAGCCAGGTATGGTGGTGTGCGCCTGTCATCCCAGCTACTCGGGAGGCTGAGGCAGGAGAATCGCCTGAACCCAGGAGGTGGAGGTTGCTGTCAGCTGAGATCGCGCCACTGCACTCCAACCCGGGTGACAGTGCGAGACTCTGTCTCAAAAAAAAAAAAAAAATCTCCCTGGTCATGTTACTGTAGAAATTGTAAGCTCATTAGGTTGAAGCTAGAAGCCACGTTAAGCTCCTTTTATTGCTGCCTGTGTTCCTCTGATAGACGTTTTAGCTCAACTTCTACACATGATCTTAGCTTTTTTGTATTACAGAACCTAATACCTAATTTGCATTTTTACTTCTTTCATTCTTAATGAACCACTGTGTGAGGATATGCTTTCTTTTTTATGGACAGTTGAGCTAGGTGTTTTTATAAGAATTCAGCTGTGTTAGTCAATAAGTGGGAATTTTACAGAGTCAATCAACTTTGGAAAAATGGTGATTACTTATTTTAACATTGTTTTTCCTGAGGCATTGCCTTTTATGTTCCCACAACTGACCCACCTACTCTTACAGCATGAAGAAAATGAATTTTTATTTGTATGTGTATATTCACTTTGATCCCTTTGACACTTTTCCTTACTTTTTCACTTATAATAAAAGGCAATTGAAGGCCAGGCACCATGGCTCACACCTGTAATCCCAGCACTTTGGGAGGCCAAGGTGGGTGGGTCCTGAGGTCAGGAGTTCGAGACCAGCCTGGCCAACATGGCGAAACTCTGTCTCTACTAAAAATATAAAAATTAGCCATGCGTGGTAGTGTATGCCTATAATCCTAGCTACTTGGGAGGCTGAGGCAGGATAATCACTTGAACCCAGGAGGCAGAGGTTGCAGTGAGCTGAGATTGTGCCACCATACTCCAGCCTAGACAACAAGAGCAAAACTCCGTCAAAAAAAAAAAAAGAGGCAACTGAGATCAAAAGAGTCTTGGCCATACTGCTGAAAAGGAGAGGTACTAAAATTTGTTGGTCTCTTTGGGTTAACAACTAGGCTGCATCAGTATGCTTTAGAGTTATAGGAATACCCCAAAATTGAGAATCCGATGGGACTATATAATTTTAGAGCCAGTTCTACAGGTGAGACATAGACAGCTTGTTCTGCTTTTCTGAAAACTTGTCTATAGAACTCTACAGAGAGGCTAAGAGGGAGTAAACAATCCTTTCTTTCTAGATCTTCATCTGCTGGTGGACGTGGCCTGCAAGCAGGAGCACTTTCCAAAGGAGGAAGAATTAAAAGAGTGAGGCATGGATGACAAATGTGACATTGTGCACTAGCTGTAGCTGGAGGCAGACTAGCCTTGCACGTGACAAACTGTTGGGATTTTTTCAGTTCTGTTAAGGAAAAAAAGTATTTTTTGTTTCGTTAATTGAGAATTTTGTTAATTGAGAATTGGGAATTTGCTATGTACTACAGCGGTTCAGTTCAGATTATCTGCCTTGACAAACTACCGAACATCTAGCAGCCATGTTTTTTGGCTGCCCAGATCCCTTTTAAATGAAAAGTTCTGACCTTCTGTTATAGTTAAGGAGCATCTAAAAACTGCTCCATCTATGGTACTAGAGAATAATCTGTGTGTGTGCTGATTTGTCGTCTTGCCACTCAAACTGTAGTCAGCACAACTTTAGTGGGGAATTCAGTCTCTCTGATTCAAGTCACAGTGTGATCCTTTTAGAGGAGATCGTGTGAGAAACAAAGGCATGTGAGGTCACCAACATCACAGGTCTAAATGCATCAGGAATTCCAGGGAAGAAACTCTGGAGAAGAGCTAATTTTCTAAGTGATTAACCAGGAAATTCTCTTACTTCCTAACCTAGCATTCTGTTTTAAGAGCAAGGCATCCGGACTTGGACCATCTATCACACTTAACACTCCCTGATTCTTTTATATTAATGGAAGCATTCTTCTATTTTCGTATCTTTCTTTCATTTTAATGATATATTATCATAAATGGTAAAAAGGTTTTATTAATATATCACTTACTTAAATGTCTTTAAAGAATTTAACTTGTTTTATATAATTGTATTTATAAATGCTGATAGATTGAAAGGTTTTAAAGTTTTATATTTTTATTATTGCAGGATAGAAGGATAAAGGATGCATGTGTAGTATTTTTATTTTGAAGGGAAAATGTACAATGTGTGAACAAAAACATTAAGAGATTTAATACACTATTTTCTTATTTTAGATTTTTACATTCAATAAGTATAAATTCTCATCTATATAAGGTATTGTGTGCAAATGTGGGGAAAAACTGATTAGTAGTCATTTAGCAGAAGCTATGCCTCTGATTTTTAAAAAATGGTTTCGATCTAGTTTAAGCTTCTGAGAGAATTTTGGATAGTGGGATAGATGGTAACATTTTTTTTCTTATCCCTGTTATAGGATTCTAGATTTGTGCAGTAGGATTGTGGGACTTTGTTTTAGGAGAGAAGGATGTCTTGGATGTCCAGTTTCTGTGGTTGATCCCTTACTTTCTTACCCAGTGACAGCAAGAAACTTTCTGATTTAAAGTCTTTCGATTGACCAGAACTTTCTTATTGGATTCTGCTTCAGTTCTCCTATTAAGCACTGCAGAAACAAAAGGAAAGCCTAGGAATATGAAACTAATTAAAAAGGCACTTGGTGATATGACATAGTACTATGCTAGCCACTGTGGATGTGACAGTTCATTTCTTATACTGCACTGTGCCTTCCCAATGATGTCAAACCCTAGAAATATTACAGAGATCTACTTTTCTGGAAAAGGGTGAGCTCTGTGTTGATCTGCAGTGACTCTGTTTAGATATTAAAGTAGATTCTGAAAAGCGACCTGTGTGGTCCATCTGATTAGACTAGATAATGTCTATGTGATGGGCATTTATTTATCTTTATTAGCAAGGTTTAAAAGAGCAAATTATCAAGACACCTGTATCTTTTGGCCAGACTATATAATATTTTGTCAGAGTATGTGAAGAGGAGACCCAATTTCCAAATGAAGGAACTTTGCTTTTTCTCTGTCATGTTGAAGAGCTAATATACTGTGTAGATGATATTTTCCCCTAAATATGGCTTTCTTAGCTTTATATATGTTGAGATAATATCTTTTGAGGAACACATGTCAAGCAGGAACCTTGGCATAGATTTGGTTTCAGTTGTTTTAAGGCTTAATTAATGAAATGCCTTATTCAGCTTTCCAAACATTTTTATATATGAATACAGCAGACCAAGGAGCTGGATCTCCTGCTATCCTTACATGCCTTGTATCTATCAACTAAAGCTGTCATTAATGACTTGGGCAAAATGGCAAGAGGTATAATAAAATCTTCCTGTGAATTAGCCATTAGGGTCTGACACAACTAGTCAACTAACAAGGTTCCTGACTAGTACCTCAGTATTTCAGTACCTTAAGCACTGATAAATTTCACTCAGTCAACAATAAAGTGAGTGTTCCAACTAGACTTGTTGTCTTGCCTGTTCTTACTGTTTGATTGGTGATTAATAGAAAACTCAGTCATTATGACAGTTAGTAGCATAATTCAAATGAGATTGTACTTTGTTTTTCAAATAATCTGAATTTTAAAAGTTTTTTTTTTTTTCCATTTAAATAGCAATGGAATTGTTTAAATGCCGTTAAGGATAAGGACAATTTTTAGACATGTTTTACAGAAACCTACATTTTTGGAAAAGGATGAATGATCTTTAATAAATTTAATCAATCCAGAGGTGAAAGTAGACCCTGAAGGATGATCTGTCTCATGTATAAGATTAGCTAGTAGATGTCATTGAGACTTAGGCATTTCATTACAATAGTGATGGCATCTTTATGACATGTCTAGGAAAATGTTGTAGTATATCAAACCCAGAGGGTAACTCCAAAACTTTGAAGCTGAAGAATAATTGCTCTTGCAATTCTGGTGACCTAAAACAGTGAACTAAACTACATAGAACTGTTTGGTTTGATTCTGAGTTTCTCCAGGTCTCCAGGTTCATGATGCATATCATCATCATTTCCAAATCTCAGAGTTTCCTCAAGAGAGGGCAACCACATTTGTATCTGTCTTCTTTCTGTCAATTAAGTGTGTGTATTAATTACTAGGGCTAGGTCTCTTCATTCCTTTGCACATTTTAAGCAGGAATAGATGAGGCAAAGGCCATTTGTAGGTTATTTTTTTGGTTTAGTTTAACTTTAAAGGTATTTTTGCATATATCATGTATAACAATGTATATGTTGCATTATTTATGCTATACAATTACATGGCATGCACAGAATAAAATCATAAACCATGACAGATTTCAAAAAATTATCTCCAGCAGAATTAGAACTCTTCCTATCTTTTAGGGAAGGAGCTACAAAGGGTTTATATAGTTGGCCTTCCATATCAGTGGGTTCCACATCCATGGTTTCAGTTAACCTCAGATTGAAAAAGTTTGGGAAAAAAGATTCCAAAAGTTCCGAAAAGCAAAACTTGAATATGCCACAGGCCATACACTTAAAATCCATGAGAATTAAGGAATGTATAAGCATTGTTTTAGGTATTACAAGTAATCCAGAGATGATTTAAAGTATACAGGAGGATGTGCATAGGTAACATGCAAATACTAAGCCATTTTAATAAAGGCCATGAGCATCCTTGGATTTTGGTACTCAGTGGGTACTAGAACTAGTCTTCCATGGATACCAAGGGATTACTGTAGTACCTGCATTCTATTCCTTTTTTTTTTTTTTTTTTTTTTTGAGGCAAAGTCTTGCTCTGTCACCCAGACTGGAGTGCAGTGGCACCATCTCAGCTCATTGCAACCTCCACCTCCCAGGTTC